AAGAACAGATTTCACTTTGGAGAATGGAATGAAATTAATAAATATATAACATTTAACTTACCTTCTTTTGGTGGTTGAATATTTATTTTGGGAATTGATGCTTGGTCTTTACATGGAGTTATTTTTTCCTTTGCCACTTCTATACGTTTACTATAACCAGTTTTATCTTTGAAACCATTTACAGCATTTCGTAAATATCTATTCGGTATCAAAGTTTCCGGTGATATTTCTTTCCCATGACAATCTGGACATTCGTTTTCTTCAGATTCTAAAAGAGCATTTCGAATACCTAGGATTGATAAATAGTTAATACTTTACAAATTGAGTTTCGATTACTGAAATAAAAAAATGTACTTACATTCATCACAAAATGAAGTCCCACAACACGGCATCATAATTGCATCTGTTAATAAATCAGAACACAACGTGCATAATAAATCCTCAGGAATTATTACTTTCTCGACTTTAGTTTCCTGTTTTTTTTGTGGTTTCATACTTTGTTTATAAGCTTCCCTGAAAATAAAATAAAAATTAATCAATGAATCAATCTACTGTACTCAAAATACATACTGATCAATGCTGGGAACTGCAAATGTACCCAAACCAGTTAACATTGCTCCAGGAACTGAAGGACCATCAACCGGTACTAAAAATCCTCTTGGAATGCCTGTAGCTTTTTTAATATCAATTGGATCCTAAAAAAAAAAACTGAATCAGATCCAAAAATAGTTATATTAAATACAATGGATCTTACTGCAGTTGTATTATTATTAGGACAATTTTTTATCCAATGACCAGGATTATGACAACGATGACAAACATAATTAATAGGTACTTCACCATACTGATTTCCCCCTCGAATTTTCACAAAGCTAAAATGAGAAATTGAATTAGTTTTTGTTACATAATATTTTAGTAGGTACATAATAAACGTAACAATGAACTATAACCTACAGAAAAGCAGCCAAGAAAGATACATATACAAGATTGAAAATATAAAATTATCTATTTAGAAGGAATAGGTGAAAATAGATCCAGGACTCAAGGACAAGTAAAGAAAAATGTAGATGGCTGCAAGGACTTTTATAAGCTTTGATGTAAAAAAAAAGAAGTCATAATAAAATATATTTGACATTTTTCAACTATATTTTGAATGTTGTATGAAATAAAAATTGTGATTTAACTATTTAAATTTCATAAATAAATTCATGTTTTTATTATAATTTTAATAAATATTTGGTTTCAGCTTGAGACTTACTTAGATGGATCATATTCCTGTGTAGATTGTGCCATCATAGCATTGATTTTATCTTCTTCGCTTGCATTAGAACCAAGCAAATCTGCACCCTATAGAATTTTAAAATGAATATTTTAATTTAACTAAGCATTTGAACTAAAAAAATATAGCATTACCTTAAGTTTAGCAGAATCAGGTTCATGTGAATCTAAATTTAATATCTATGAAATTAAAATACAAAATTAATATACTATACATAATTAAGATAAATAGTCGAATATATTATGTAAGATATACCTGTTTTGAAAGAACTAATTGATTGTTTTGTTCAGCTCTTTCCCTAAAAAAATGAAAAATTCACCATTTAAATTGTTTGAAAATTCCTTGTACCTACATATCCTATTTTAGAATTGGACCGAAATTATTGTACACAATTAAATACATATTATATTAGGTATACAAAAGCTAATAGGAAAATAAAGCCTCTTGTAGTTTAATGGTAGAGTACTTCTATTAGACAAGACCACAGCTGCATGTGTTATAATAGTTTTAAAAATGTACAGCATCGCAAATTTGTATTCAGCAGTTCCAATTCGGTGTTGTTAGCTTTAGTATAAGAGCAAACTGACCAATTATTAAACTAAAAAGTAAGAACATTATCTGTGGTCTCTAGTTAATTTAAATATTAAAAAAACACCCAATAAACACAGATAATGTTCTTACAGTTTAGTTTGATAATAGATCAATTGACTACAATATTAAAGCCAACAAAACAAAATTTGACCAGCCAAAGGCAAATTTGGTATTTTGTTTGTAAGACAAAGGCAAAATATGTATATTTGAGATCTTTTTAAAGCTTCGATTAGTATCACCGTATATGTACAATGTACATAATTTGGTATGTATCTCCAACAGAGGAATTGCATACATATTTATGTTATTCCTAAGTTGTGATGTGTTTTGATATTTATTGATTGCACTTAAGATATATATATATAATATACAAACTAAAAAAAAATAAAATATATGAAGCAATCTGTAAACTAAAGTCTCCTAACTGAGAAATGCATATAACATAAATGTATTTTCGATAAATTCTATATAAGTTCTTTAAAAGTTAGTAAAAAAATTAACTTATCAAAGGGTTCACAAAGTGTAGTTTTCATTATTAAATGAAACAATAGTAATAATACATACCATGCTTTTTTTTGTTGTGTTGTAAGTGGTATTCTTGAAACAATTAATGACGTATTTTTTGGAATTAATGTTTGGTCATCGGTATATTCTAAAACAATAATTTAGGGTTATTAAAATTTGGTTTATTGTGTATAAAAACAATATATATTGTAAATAGAATTAAGCAATGACATGCATAACACTTGATGTGTGCAAGTATAGCATAATAATAATTTGTATCATATTTTTGGAATCCCTATTGCTTTTCCTGTGTCTAATTAAAACAACAATTAATCGATCCACATTTAGTTTATATATTAGGTAATAGAATTGTCCCAATTTATATACTATTAATAAGAGAATGCTACAATTATATTTATCTTGGTTTATTATTCACACAAGATTTACAAAAAGATTATAGGTAATAGCCAAACAAAATATAATAGGCAACCTAAGTTTATGTTAATATTTAAAACAAAAAAATGCAAACATAAATATAGTTTGTCCACTTACAAAAATAATGATCAGAAGTAAGCTATATTGTTTTAAGAATAAACCATTTTACTATTGGGAAATATACCTACATAGTCAATGACTGAATTAATTTAATATTGGTCAGGAAAATGGTTCAGTGAAAAATCAATGATCTCAGCTTAACGCGTCTTCATGATAATTATTGAAAAAAATTAGAACCAATTTTTACACCATAACACAAAATAATTATTACACAGTGTCACAGTGTATAGATACACTGTTGTTTGTTAGTCTTACCTTCGTTGGTCTGGGCGTTGGTGACCTGTAGATCAAAATCTGTGTTCTTGCCAATCTGTTTCTGATGAAGAATAGCCTTTTTCAAATCTCTCACGGATATGTGAAGACCATCGAACGTGATCGTATCATAAGAAATGGCGGATTTAAACTTGTAATGGACCGACATAATGACACTAGTAACACGCGTTCAGGCCTCAGTGTTCGATTTCAGTTGTAACTAAACCTTTTGACGTAATTATTTGTTTATTTATTTATACACCGGGGATTTAGAAAGTGTTGATAATATCGTTTAGACTAGATTGAAGCCCCGAGAAAATCGGGAAAACTCACCCATCGATAAGGCTCGCCGGCCGGAGGACTTCAAAGAAGTGAGATCGTCCAATCAGTCAGATAAAAACAGACGCACAGCTGCACTTAATAGTCATAGAAAAGAGATTAAACAAGGCTACAGTGAATGGGTGAAGAATTCTGTTACGTAGCGTTGGCGCGTTGCAATATGTTTAGGGTCGTATAATAAATAGTAATAATAATAATGACTAATAAGACTAAAGCCCGAGAAACGGAGTAGAGACGATAAAAAAATCTAAAACATGTAATATGTAAACAACACGAACGAAACGTTTTCAACTTTCGGATATTATGACAGTGTCGCCAAAGTGGGATTGTTGTGCAACCACAGAACAATAAGTTCTGATACACGTTATTCTGTAATTACGGCGCGGTGTAAACTGTGATTGAACCGCCAAAATTATATTTCAATATTTTAATCAAGGTCATTTATGATTTATTTGAGGCTGTAATAAAAATTAGACATTACCGAATACTATAGTCATTACTTATTACTAGAGCTTTATTATCAATATAAAGTATATGATAATAATAATAGACGGCGTAATTCACCCAACAGGGGGTGTCCCCTACTTTTTACTCAATGATACATTAATTCAAATTCAGATTTCTGGAATTTTTAAATACAGTGAGTCCGGCTATAACTCATTATACCACTAAATGTCTCAGCCCGAAATACAGTTTGCCGTGGTAGCTAAAGAAATACATATTATTTTGAATAAACATTTAACTCCTCTTGTTTGCTCATGCGCAAATGCACAATAGAACATGAGTTATTTTATATAATAACCCTTAATTTTTCTATCATGTATGTATAGATTTCTTTAAAGTCTTCCTTGATGCATTAACCATAGTCATAAACTTATAACTATAGGTGACAGAGTTACTGTCCACAAGCTTACGGGATTTTTGAAATTTTGCAAATAATTTGATTTTGACAAAAAGGTGGTACATTTGGGTTTTTTTTTACACGGATTTGGAAATTACTCCCGTGAAATAAAATGAAAATTACTTTTTAACATTAATTTTGGGCTAGTTTATTTTTTTGTAAATGTTAAAAATTCGATATTTCCCACCTTTATTTTCCAAACATACTTCCAGTCGACAAGTTACTTCTCTATGCGTAGCCCCCACATTCTGGAATTCCGATCATTTTATAGAAAAAAATCAACTTATATAAAGCGATTTACTGAGTCCAGGACACACTGGCATAGGCCACATTATAATTTTGGTGAGATCTGACAAGTATTATTTTTGATATATAAAAATAATAATTTCTTAATATTAATTACATTGACTAGAAAGAAAACCTAAGACTCTTTGAATCTGCTTCTGGTAGTAACTAGGCATAATTTAAATTATAAATAATTTATAATACATTTTATTTAGCTAAAATAGAATTTATTGTATTAACAAATTAGATACATTGATAATGGTATATAATATAAATTTTATACAATTTTTACATTTATATTTCGAATAATCAATAAAAATATTTATACATATGAGAAGTACATTATAGTTCATAAATAAAAATGTTAATAGAAATAAAAGAATCAACCCACAAAAGGGTGGTTTGCGTGCATACAGACATGAGTATCAGTGGTGAGCTCAGCTTTTTTGAAAGGGGGGGGGGTGAATTGTTGAGTATTCTGAGGCCAAGTTATACATTCATTGCTTTATCATATATTTTATGACAAAAATAAGCCAAAAGGGACACCCTCATCCACCCAATTAAAAATTTGATTTCAATATAGTTTTTTTTTTTGCTTCACTATTAGGAAATTATTTTTTGAACACATTGATAGTACCAATAATATTTTCTACGTGCCAAGGTAATAAGAATAATATTTACAGTATTGTATTAATTGTATTGTTTTATACATTTTGATATTTTTCCAAAAATATTGTTGAGCATAGTTAATGTTGTGTTTGACATCGCTCACTAGCTTATTTTACTACGAGCATTGTAAATCCTATTAACACGATTTAGTGAAACTTTAGCCTCTATATTGATAAGAGAGTCTTAACATTGACAAAAATTATTCAAACTTACTTTCATAAATTATTACTATTTCAAATTATAGAAACACAAATTAATAAGTTTAAAACTCCTACAAAGTTTGTATAAGACATACGAATACCTACCTGTAAGACATCAGACTAGCTTAGAGAAGCTGTCAAAATTCTGACTAAAGTTCTTGAGCCGTAGCTATGCCATAGACTTCAGTTAGTGAATATAATTATTGTTATTACATAATTGTTTCTTAACAACTCTAGTAAGTTGAGACATTTAATAATGTTGCTACCTCAAAGTACCTAATTTAAATATAACTCAAGAAATACTGTTTATTGATTAAATTATAATTATCGACCAACTTTGATGATTCAAGGGAAGTTTAGATAATAGATTGAACCAGCTATTTTAGATTAGCTTACCTTTTTATATATTATAATTATGTATGATTTAATATAAAACTACCAATGCAAATTGTATAGTTAAAATCACAGTATAATATATTGTGGTTAAAATATAAATATCTTAAAATGAATAAGTTTAACATCAAGTTGGTTGGTAATTTAAACTTGGTATATATTTATGTAAGTAACTAACAAACCAAAATGGTAGTCTATAATTTATAAAAGTATATATACATTTATAAGATATTGTAGATAAGAACTGAATTATATTTGATGTAATGACTAATGACGTTCCAATTTTCAATAATATTTCATCTTTCGTTTTCACTTTTTTTAATGATCTATAGTCAATTTGTTAAATAGTACATTTAACAGTATCAAAATAACAAATTATTTATTTTAGAGCTTATTAACATTAAAAATGTTACTTATTGGGCATTTGTCTAACAATATCCATCCATGATAACACTGATTCGTCCGGAGAAGGAGTGTTAAATCTGAACCCACGGCTTCGCGTTTCGATTAATACATTACAGAGATAATTATTCATTAAGTTTAAACTTGATTTTGGGTATTTTCGTCCCAATGTTAAGCTTAAACCTGAATCTGGTTTTTCTAAAGGTGATTTTCGAACCTTTGCTAATGATTTAGTACGGAATATTTTGTATTTTTTAATATAGGCACCTTTATTTTTAAGAGGTGGCTTAGGGGTAGTTTTATCTTCACATTTTATATTATTTATGAAACTTGTACTTTCTATGTCAGAAAGAGGTAGTTTTGGTTCAATATTATTTGCATTTTCAACAACTGAATGTTTAGGTTCATCCGTAGATAATAATGATAAATGTTTGCTTATATAATCTGATATGTTTTGGCATTCACCAGTCACTTGGCTGTTAAGATGCAGTTGTTCCATTGAAGATGAAAGGTTTTGGTCACAAGAATATAATTCATTGTCATCAAACATTAAATCATTTAAACCAAATGGTGTTTGTAAATTAATCTTGTCTGTTTTTTTTGTAAAATTTGTATTTTCTGATACATCCGCTTGTTGAAGAAGAAGGTCTAATGATTGAAAAGACATTTTCTTTTTAGTAATTGGTCTTCAATGTAATGTTATAATATTTTATAAATATTATGTTTGTTGCCTCCAATTAAATACAAGTTTTAATGAAAACAATCTGAAAAAAATAGATATTTTTTAAAGCGAAAAATGAATTAGGTATCAAACATATTTTAGTAAAAGAACTAAGTAGTTGAATAAACTCAAATAAAATAACAACACGTGACACATAGGTATTGACATAATAATAGGTATGTTAATATGTTATATTGCTTAGTAATATTATGGCATATAAATAATATTTATTAATTACCTACAGTCAATTTAATAACTTTTATTTTTTAAATAGATACAGATTACAGACACAATTAAAAAAAAAACAATTTAATTTTCCGATAAAAATAAGCATCAAAATATAAAAAATGAAAATAAAATGCAAATCAAAATATTTGGCCCTACAGAATATATATTTTATTGATCCGTTTTGACAAAAAAAAAAATTCTGTCAGCAGTTTATACATAATATTGTTACATACTACATTTACAACTATATTATATACTATATGTTTATGTTATAAGTATTATATCAGTTTTAAATCCACAAACTTACTTTCTTGAGGACAGTTATTATTTTTTAATTTTATTTACAAGTAAAAGATAAATAAGTGGATTTAAACCTGTTATTATGTTACCTTGTGAGCATTGTATTATTGTTCTAAAGTATAAAATCAAATAACGTAAATAACATAACTTACAGCATTGGTTATTGTTTGACTTAGTTACTATAATACTGTATAGTTTATATATAATGTATTTCCTCGGTATTTAACTGACAAAATAATTACTAAAGACAACACACGTCATCATTAACTAAACATTTACTAATTTACTATAAAATAAAATGTAATATCACTTTAAATTTCAATAAAAAAGGAACTTTATTTTTGTTCTGCTTAACAGTTTACAATCACGATAAATCGAATGAATTCTGATCACAAATCGCAAATATTCACAATTCACAATAATAACAATAACATTAATCTAATTTTTCCAAAACAAAACAATCGAGGTCATTTTTCTAGTCAGCTGCTGCTATTTACACATAATATTTCGAAGCAAACCGAAATGATAAGAATAACAGTTGATAAAAAATTGATAATAATTATTACAGTTAATAGTCATAGATAATAAATATCTATATTTGAAAAAAGGTTATTTAAAAATCAGAAATAACGGTTTCTTACCATGTAGGTACCTATAATCTGTAACCTTTATGTACTATAATTTTAATGCAAGGGCCTATTAAGTTAAAATACACTTAACATTAACTGCAGTCCAATTAATTAATTATATCATTCCAGGCCCGTGCGCAAGGGGGGGGGTTTTGGGGGTTCAACCCCCCCCCCATGGCCGAAAAATCGTGTTTTTCATGTTTGATCTATTAATTATATGTCATATTTTCTAATCTTAATTGTAATAAATAATAATGCATAACATAATAGTACAATACTATAATAATATAATATAGTGTTGTCTTCACGTTTGCTGTTTATCGACTTTCGTAATCGTTGCCGTTATCGATAAAATATAATGACAATAAATGTACGAATATAAGTATAGAGCATACACGTCACACAATAATATTTTATTCGACCGCAATTAGTAGGACACGAGATTACACGATAACGGATTTCGGGTATTTTAAAAGTTGTTTATAATTATAGTTCATACAAAACGATTGTAAGCTCACAGTGAGACGTTAGTTATAGTGTTATGTTAGAAATAACATAAAAATGGACATTCGAAATTTTTTCAAAAAACCACGGCTAGAAAATGATGAGATAGTAAGTACATTAAAATTAATTATAATTTATAAATATAATTTATTTATTATTTATTAAAAAAATGATTTGTATTTTATAGTAGGTATTGTTCAAAAACTCATTTAACATAGGTACTTACAAAATTAATAATAAATATAAATATGTTATAATACTATTTGCTAATTATTGATGTATCTATGTTATAAATTTTTTTTTTCAAAACACCCCCCATTCTGAAATCCTGCGCACGGGCCTGTATCATTCAAATTTTCATTTAGATTCTAAAATTAAGTGTTACTCAAATTTCGTATTATAATTTGTTATTATTCATGGCAGAGATTATCAATATTTGATTTTTGGACATGATGCACCACGCATATACCTTACACATAACTATAGCCCCGGATTTCAATTTCCAATGCAAAGTGGATTATTTTATGGGTGTTGTAATGTTGTATGTAATAATGTACTAATGTTGCATTGAGGACAATGAATTGCAAGTACCTACCTGGCTACCTACCTACTTACATGCCTAATTAGTTAAATCGCAGAGCTTAAAATCTATTCACAAATTAATTTTTTTAATTACTTAAATTTAAAATTCAACAACAGATGATAAGATTATAATGACCACGATAGCGAGTACTGCACAAAACTACAAAAGGATTATTAAACTAAACTTAACAGGATTTACACCATGGTTTCGATCACGAGTAACTGACCATGATAACGAGTACTGGACGTGCAAGCGAGTACTACAATGTCGTGTTACCTTTTACAAGAAGTGCTATGCGCCACAAGAGCCTGAAAAACTTAAACACTATTTTCGGCCGGAAACACTCATTATTCAAAAATTGAAACAAACATAAATAAAAACACTTACTCTGGCCACTTAGTCATCACTACGATTGCCGTTTCACACGTACAATCGTCGTGCCTCCGTTCTCGGCTTCTCGCCGAATCACTCATTTACTCAGCGACAACCGGACTGCCCCGTACCTGCGCGTCCGGCGGTGTTATAAAACAAAATATAAATGTCACCTCAACACATCTTGCTTCACTGGCCTGACCATTAATTTACTGCTTAAAATAATCCCGCCTATATTACAAACATGTTAAATAATATTATGTATACATTATACGACACACGTATATGCACCCCTAGATATGGAATGGCTAGTGTTCAGGTTATGCACAAGTTTGTTTTCATATTATTTTGGAGCTTATATTTACTCGTTGAACCTAAGTGAAATATTTATTGTCACGGACAATCTGTTAACTGGAGGACGTAGAAACATATACTTTTACTCCCAAAAGCGCAATGTATGAAATACGAAAATCCGAACAATCCAAACGCCGTCTCCGTTAATCATTTCATCACGGCAAGTAAGTTACATAGGCTAATACATAGGTACCGATTTCGCCTAAACTATACTCCGGGAAACACCTTAGGTTTGTGCGAAGTATTTAAAACAGTATACTTGTTATTAATCTTTCTATTTCAAATACATTATACACCTCATATTCATTAGTATTTACATCTATTTTAGTGTAGTTTATACCCTACATATATGTGTACGTATTAAATAGTTTAAAATAATTATTTTTGATTATAATATATAATAATAATTAATAATTTATTTAAAAGCGGATTATGGTTAAATAAATTGAACAGTTGTCGTATCCGTGGCTAGATCAACCCTTGTGACATAAAATAGGAATTATTCATGATTTTTTTACTATTTTTCGATAAACATATGCAATATACTTAACCATGAACCGTTATAATTGTTATATAGCTCATACAATTAAACATTCTTAGTCCATACATATACATATACAATACACGTATATCCTTCATAAATATTTTATGGTTGAAATCGTGTAAATAATTTAATCAAACAGTTATCACTGGTATCAATTGTATTTTACTACCTATGTCTAGGGCACGGATTAATATATTAATCCGTGGTCTAGGGTCACTGGCGATAGGTGGCAGAACGTACTTTTAAAATTAAAAACATAAAATAACTTTGTAGGTAGTAGAAGCTGAGAACTCGAGTCGATTCAAATGTATAATCCCGTTAATGTAATAGCTATTAAATTCATCATTGAATAATGATTATTCAACTATAATTATTATTCGAAAATATCCCATATGGAACATTTAATTCATAATTTAATCCACCCACCCAAACATATTTTAAAAAAAATAAATCTAATGTGAAACACATCTAGAAAATAAGTGTCACAATTAAAGTCGAGAAAAACAATTGAGTAGGAAAAGTAAATTGGTAAATTAAATAAATAAAAAACTGGATGACCATAAAATTTCGAGTTGACATTTCATAAAAACTACATATAGTATATGTAAAATGTATACTTATAACGTACTGATTTATAGTAATTGATGATGAGTAAGATGTGGGAACTAAAAATCAGGCAAATATGATTATTTTAAAGTTGAAATTCATTTGTGTTTTATAAAATATAATGTTATTTATTGTTATCATATAGATTGGATAAATGGGTATGGCGTTATAAGATATAATATCAACCAAATAATCACCCGAGTCTTGTTTTGAAATGATTATTTTGCTCACTTAGAGTAGGGCACTATGAGTATTTTATTCTAACTGACTAAGTCTGTTAAGCCAACTTTAATTAATATTTTCTAATTCTCAATTTGGGTTCCACTCTGCCTACTGGCCATTCAGTACCTTACGAAGATACCATTAACGGAGCTTACTCAGATTTAAGTATCCAAATGGTGTATTTGTAATGGGCATAAATAAGGGTAAAATACACCTTGCGAGTTTTCTAAACAGATATGTCTTGATAGTTTATTATATCCAAATTGTTCCTACATAATACACAGAAAGGTTGTAAATGCAATATAGAATTTGTACAACAGTATAACATTTCTTTAAATCACAAACGTTTTATTAACGTCAACATAATATTTAATAAAATTATAAGACACAATTATAATATAATTTATATGATTACATTTGTATTATAAAAGCAATATTGGCAGCATGAAAGCAATTTAAAAGTTTTTGTAAGTTAAATTTGTTTATAAATATTAGGTTTAATTACATTAAGTATATACATACTAAAATATGTAATTAAAAAAAGAGAAATTGAACAGGTACTTTTAATTAATTGAAAATAACTTAAAGAACATTTGAATCTGGACGATTAAATACAGGTTTTCAAAGACATACAAAATGTCCAGCTCTTATGATATGTGTCGGTACTATTTAAACATTAATTATTAAATAACACACAATTTAATATTATTATAAACTATAGTTTTTAAATAGCAATATAGCTATAGCATAATACAAAATACAATGAAACAATTAAAAATAAACAGTTGATGAGTACATAATTATTTTTGCATAATGGCATTGCGGTGCATGTAAAAAAGACAAAACATTTTTTTTCGAATATCAATTTATGATATATAAATATATTATATTATAATATAATTAACTTTTAGTCGAAAGTAGGTAGGTATTTAGTTTTTCCAATAATATTTTTATGTATCATTTTGCTTACTGCAGCACTGAAATGGCGACGACTTCCAAACTAATTCTACAAATTGTGGAGTGCACTTTTAAAAATCAGTTGACAAAATGAATTCGTTGGCTTAAAAACAAAAAGCATTACTTAAATAGTAATAGTTTGTACTCTATCGTGTTTTTAAATATAAGTACTTATGCTGTGTATACATTTTAGAGTTAGTGGTGTTGAAGTTCGAAAATATAAGTACAGGTTATGCGCAAAATAGATATTCGGCCGATATAATATATTTATGATCATAATATGAATTCAAATCAAAAGATATTGAGTGTTGCCGTAATATAGTTATTCGCAAACTGGAATGTATGCTAATAATAATGAATCCTATTCATCGCTATCCGTCAATATCATAATACAAGTCGTTTTATGAAATGATTTCGAGTTGGTTTTAACTTAACAATATAATATTATACATGCACAGTAGAGTGTTACTCGCTCTAGTGTAACTAAAAAAAATTTATAAATATTATTTTTCATAAACTATTAAGTAAACGATATACACATGTATATGGACACGGGAGCTTCTTTTCGGTGATATACCACCTATCGAAGCATCTCTCACTGTCGGTCACGTCTACTTTCTCCTGAAATCAAAGTCGTTTTGCTGTTGCTGTTGCTGCTGGAGCTGTTGCTGTTGCTGTTGGAAGCTGGGTCGCTGCTGCTGTAACACGACCGGTCGCCTCTGCTGTAACGGTATGTTGATCTCCTCGGAAGAGTGGAACACCTGGTTGGGAGATGGTTGTCGGGCGAACTGTGGTTGCTGTGGCTGTTGGTGTTGCAGCAATTGCACCGGGCGGGGGGTGGACAGCACGTGTTGTTGAGTGGGCTGAGGTTGTTGCTGTTGAATGCGTTGTCTGAGCCCAGGCTGCGGCTGTCTGAACTGTTGTTGCGGCTCTCTTTCCTCGTGGTCGTACTCCTCTCCTGCCTCTAGACTGCTACCCGGGTGGTACCTGTCTCCGTACCTGAGTGTCACATTCGGTCGAGAGTTGGCTTCCTCAGTGTTCACCGGTCTGTACAGGAAGTCGTTGACGAAATGATATTGCGTCGATTGCTTGCAAATGTTCTCGCCGCTCGGTGGCATGCAGATCAGATGTACCTGTGGACCGACGCAGGCTTAATTATATTTGTTTTAGGTAAAAGTTAATGAAAATATTAAATTATATAATCGATTTGAAATAGACTTTGGGTCTTGATATATAACTCACCTGGTGGAAAACGAAACCTTCCGGGCATATCCAGGAGTGTCTAGCACTATCTTGGCAGTAATGGAACACTTCGCAGTCCAGACCTTCGTCAGCGTAATAACCGGTTGTCTTACCACCACAGGTGAATTTAGACTGGGGCAACAATTGTGTAAGACGGTCAGGTTCTTCTTCTTTTTCTTCTTCTAATTCCTGGGCTTCTTCCTGTGATAACATTCATAAAATATAAATTATATTAAATTGTATGGCGATAGGCCAGACACTTATATAATAGTATAAAGTATCCATAATATAATGTAATAATCAAGTTCATTTTTAAAATCATTAAATCAATCAACATTAATAAAATCAATTATTATTATTAATTACTATGCATAATATTGCCATATTTTAGTTACAGATTAGTTTAGTTCCGAAAATAAAGTGATACATGTTTGAATATCCAACACATGGATGAATCAATATTGCCTACATTACGCGCCGTGTGATCGTGTAAACAATAAGAACGAAGACAATATTCTATTTTATGGGAGTGGGGACAGTTCCTATATAATATTAATAATATTATTATTACTTATTAAGTACGATCATTGATAGTATAAAAGTCAAACAATTTCTTATTTACCAGGAAACAAAATGTTTTTTTTTTAAATTTAATTTATCACTCAGCTTTATGTATAATATAAAATATTTATAATATTATACATATATTTTAAATAAACATTATATTATATTATACATATATTACAATAAGTGCGATGGAATCAACTGTGTTGCATAAGAACATGTTATTTAAAAAATAATTGTTATACCACATAGGTTATACATAATAAATGTATTCAGATATTATGTTAACTCTTCGCCGTTTCACATTATTCAACACAAACATATACAATATTATTTATTGCTGAACGAATCGCATTGTAATCAATAAAATAAAAACACTTTGTTTAGTGATTTATCTTATACACTATAGTACTATACAGTCGATAATATATATATATATTATCATTCATGTTGTTGTTGTTGCTGTTATTGTTATTTAGACTATTGACGACGTTATAATAATATATAATATATTGTTATACAGATTTAGGCACGGTGTCCACTGGAAATGCGTCAGACTCGAGTGACATAATAACAGCGCCTTAAAACGTATTATATCATTAAACATAATATTTTCGGGAATGTCGATTTTCGTTGCGAGCATAATGGACCCGTGGTAGTTATTCAAACATTGATTCACTTTACGCTAGAACGATTTGTACGATACAACAATAAAGGTGTCGATGTCCTATATATTAGTAAAAATCGCTATTGAAATCAATAGGTATCACCGCACCGTTCGAATCCTACGAAACCTTAGAGGAGGACGTCCATCATAATACTCGATTTCGTTTTAAGAACCACTATAGATACACTGCTTTATTATCTACGTTTTCCGCATAATTAAAGATATTTATATTTTAATCGTGTTTTTCCGGGTGGTTGAATGAATATACATAATTTCAGTTCCGATCATCTATGTTTTCAAGTTGTAAACATTCCATTAATTTATAGGGAAATCAAAATTTAAAATTATTTTTCGATTTGAAAATTTGGTCAAAATTCTAAAGCGTGTAAATATATATGTACATTGCACATGAAATTCAAAATCGTTATGAAAAAAATGAATTATGAACATAATAATTTTAAGTATTATGCTCTAGGTAATAATATTTGCCGTAAATATTAAAAAGGTTAAACATTTGAACATTTTGAATCCGATAATTATTCATTATGATATAGATCATGGTAAATTCACAGATTAGACATCACAGAAAGCACGCTTGAAAAACTCACAAAAAAAAAAAATTATTACTAAGCGACAATTACCGGCATGAGATGTTTTAAAGTGAACACTGGGACGTGTAATTGGAACCCGAGTATCGTTACGTATTAAAAATAAAATGTAAGTAAAATAATGAAAATGTGTTAAATATCAAATAATATTACATATTGTATGCTCACAGGTCAGATGAACCGTATGAACATAAAACGTGTGCGACTTACCGACAACGGTTGGCTGGACAGCGGTTTGTATTGCGACGGCGAAAGAGGCTGTGGTCTTCTGAGCGGAGTTTCGGTCGGCCTGTTGATGCGGATCGGCTGCAACGTCTGCGGGGATGGCGACGGAGAAGCGCGGAATTGATTGAACTGGAAACGTCAAGTTACAAAACACACGATCGTTAATTATAATATGCCTAATTAGATTATTGCGCATTTTACGATTCGAAGAAATCGATAATCGGAAGTGTTTACTACGATTTACGTCATCTCTCGTATACGCGGTGCACATTATAATAATATTATATTGCGTTAAAATTTAAAAAGTGACTGTCGTTGCGAAACCTCGTCTGGTATATTCGTACATTCAGAAACTTGTGGGTCGGCTCGGGTCGACTTGGTTAGACTCGTCGACGTCCTATATAATATTGTGCAGTGCAAAATGCTAACGATCGCGACCTTGTGACGTAGTTTTTTCAACGTCATCCGAAAGATTGAGATAATTGTTATACATGTGTACACTGCAGTTCAAACGACGAGGTAATTAAGTTTAATGCTCTCAAAAATGGATTTGTCGAATAATAACTGCGATGACAAGGCAAGACCGCTGTTTCACATATAGCCATATAGGCCTCGTCTGCGGCGCATTAATATGTACTACTCGGCAGCGGCGGCACACATTTTATCCAAAAGTCTACGACATATTCCTCCATCTATAAGTTATAATGTTATTCTTCGTCACGAGAGTAACTCTTATTTTTTTTGGTTTTAAATTTCGGGCATTTCATTGATAGTATATTATAATAATTTTATTTGTGTACGCATATTATATTTTTATGATGTCTGTGGAAACAAGTGATCTTTACGATGATGGCGTCATAATATTATACAACCTTTAATTCGTAGGCACCTTTCTTTTATTTTATTGTTCACTTATCTATAATATTATTATATTTGCATAATAATAATAATCATAATATCGTAGTGGATACTGGATCGTAAGTATTTTTGCTTGCAGTGACGTTGCAATCTCTCAAATTTAAGTTTAGATTGGTGGTGGGAAAATTGGGTTCGGGAAGAATCTGGCGGCAGTCGTTATCTCGTCGGACGGTAACGAATTACGTGCCCGCACCGGTGTACACTTTCGCGAGTTCTGACTGCAGTGTAATACTATCTATATATTCGTATTATATATTACCAAAAAAGTAACTAGTAAGTAGCTATTGAGAGCTAAGTATAAGTATAAGAAATCGACAAAATAATATTATATTATACGGTACCTGTGGCGTCGGTTGCGGTCTGAACGGCAGTGGGGTGGGAGCGAGCACGTTGCGCTGGTGCGGTTCGTCGTCGTTGCGTTGCTCTTCGTCCTCCTGTTCCTCGTCCACCTGCGGTGGTGCCGTGCGGAACGCCTGCGGCGGTTGGTTACCCGCGATTCCCACGAATTTGGGCAACGGGGCGCCGGGCGCGTTGAACGGTCGGCCCGCTTGGAAGAACAGCGGTAACTGTTGCTGTTGGCGTTCACCGCCGGCTGCGGTCGCGCACATGGCCTGCAGCATCACCGCGAAAGCTGCCACGCACAATACCGGAGTGGTCTTCATATTCTGAGGGAAAACGAAACGAGCGTATTTTGAGTGACGTCGACGATACAAGTAATGATAATGTCAACGCATTATTAGGTAATATTTTATTCTTGACCTCGTCAACCTCTTAACCGTGGTCAGTAAGCCCCGTGTCCTTTTGCAATATTAAGACGTCAACACGTTGTTATTGAGTACGATTTTGGGCTAAGTGGTTGACCGATGAATGTAAATCGGGGACCTATCTAAATCACACATATACAGAAGGGCTAAATACTCGTAAAATTAGGATTTCTAATTTAGAAAATCCACAGTTCGCACATGCGAATTACAACAACAAGGACGTTGGCGAATTGTAGACTAGTCTACTGCGTATAGGGACGGGGAAATTAGATAATATAACTTCCAAGGGAGTCCGTAGAACAGTATATAACGCAGATATACCATAACCACCGAGTTCTAAGAACCTCAACTTTGCAATAAGAGTACACCACTGTATATCGTATATTTTATTTCAACTGACAGAAATTGCAGTCTTATTTGAACTATATAATTTAATAACTTTGCTAAAACTTAATAACTATCTGGTAGAGCATGATGCAACATTCGTATCTCGCAGTTTCGAGTTATAAGACTGAAGAACCATATTATATGAGTGCTAGGTGGTCATATAGGCTTTCACTCTATCCCTCAACCAGGATCAAGTCACCTCACCCATCATATTTTTCTTTTCTTTTTATAAACGATTATAATAATTTTAAATCACGAACTATCTTAGTCTGTGGTGTAAATTACATACATTTCATATGTTTAAAATTATCACGCGATGCTCTGTAGAATTAGGCTCCAAAGAAGTTGGAATCAATCTATGTGTGTTTAACACCTTCTTCTCTTTCTATATGTATGCACTTGGTTCGACATATTATATAATATAGTCAAATATATCAGTACCACCCATATATACTATTATATATTACATAATAATATATAATATAATATTGTATAATATTTCTTCCTACATAAGAGGACTGCAACAGCGACGTTGTAACATAAAATCTTATAAAATACCTAGGTATATAAATAAGTTGCGTTATCCTGAAATTTTCTTATTCATTGTATAAAAATGGTAAATCAAAATGCAACATAGAAGATACGTATGCTAATACGACTTTAAGACCTGTAATCCGCGTGTTCTTATGTAATAAGATCTACACCGTTTGGGACCTTATCCGAGAAAGGGTTAGTTGGCACGTCATTATTATAATTGGATGGTCGTCAAATAGTCAGAATTTTCCGTACGATAATTGTTTGTAATTATATAACCATGCAATAAGCTCATAGCTCTAGCAAGTGATTCGTCATGAGCCATGACAAGAAAAAGACTACACACGTGCAGGCTATAACGGAACTTAGTATAAATGATAGCTCTATGGCCTATACAAGAATCAATTTTAAATAATAGAATTGTTATTTTAGTTATAAATAATATTTAATTATTTCAACATCACATTATCGCTTAAAGGTTTGTAAAAATTAATTTTATTTTTTTCACAACCCCAGAAAAAAACCAAGTGTATTAAATCTGAGAGATTGTGTACTTAGCTTTAATTGAAACCATATTATGCTATTATAATTTCAATTATTACTTTATTAGTATATATTTTCGTCGTAGTACTCCCTCTGGGAGTCTTCTGCAGTCTGTGTAATCTAACTTTTTATTTTTTATTTTAACTTACAGGTATTTACCATCAATTGTTCTTATTGTTCTTTTTTTTTTTGTAATAGATCGAGTAAAAAAACTTATGAACCAAAAAAAGTATATACCCCATTTGGAAGAAAAATCTTATCTCCATCACTGAATTCGCGTATCCTGTACCGGCTGACGTCACGTTCGCGAATCGTATATAATACTATATGCTACGACTCGCGAATATATAACCAGCGCATAAAAATTATACGGTCGAATCACGTTTTAAACGAGCTTCGTAGTATATAGGTAGCTTAAAGTAAAATTATTCAACAGATTATTTTCATGGTGCACATAAATCTCGGCAATCTCGGGGATACGCGGTCATAACCATGCCATACCATATAATATGGGACGACGAAATACCAAACGTGACCTGCCGGTTGAATTTTATGCACTGCGTGTCGTGCGCGTGTATTTTTTAGCAGCGTTTTCCGATAAGCTTATTTTAATGTCGTTTGGGTTACAGGATAATTTTGGATCCAACAATGTTCTGTCCTGAGTACAGTGTGTAGTACTGTAGTTGTACTGTATACGACGACGTAACGGCGACGAAAAAAATAATAAGTATATAGAACGTACTTTTGTTTACTCCGAATACTCTAAACGTAGTTATATGTTGATTATATTGTAACGTTAATTATCCACACCCGATTAGGTTATACACCTTACACCTACACCTACACCTGTTTTGAATCTAAATTAGAACATACGTGTAGGCATCATTAATATAACAATAACAAATTAAATCATGATTTAAACCAGTTTATAATTTAGAAAAGTATTCTCATTTTATACACATTGATTCACATAGAGCGTAGGCCGCAGAGTATTATAATTTATAATCTATACATTAAAATACCATTGTACAAATATTATCACGGTATATACAGAAAGTTTAATTGTCGAAGAGAAAATTTAAGCGTTGAAAATAATTTTTTTTCGTCCAACAGGCAATAAAAATTAATATGCTTTTTTTCCACAAGGTGTGTGAAAAAGTCTAAATCAGATTAATAACTTAAACATAACGTATCATTAATACGTTTTGTTTAATATAATTTCAAATACCACCTGCGATTGATAGGTCAGCCGCGTGCTATCCACAAAACAGTATGGGTCAATCTAGATAAGTAGATATCGATAAAGGCAAGAAAAGTTCATTGTTGATTACAGTTATATCGGTTGATGCGATTTCGGAGGTGGTAGAGGTGTAACAAAAACTATTACCTACCCGTGACTAGTGCGGGAAGACAATTATTTGCGCCCTTGCCTCTCAATATATTATTTAATAACCAAAATTAAATACGAGTATTCAAAACAATTTTGTTTCAAAATATATTTTAAACACAGCTTAAGAGGTTAACGAAATAATAACAATAATTAAATTTAAAGGCAAATAAATAAATTGAGTTGCACATGATTATAATATAAAAGTAATTATATTATGTTCGCACATATCATAATAATAATCCTTCGAGAATCTTTTTATAGTCACGTTTTTCTAGATTTTGTTTGGGAAAATAATACATAGTTTAACTTCGGCCAACGATGTAGATTTATGTTATGTAATTTGTATTCCGAAAGGAGATTTCGGGCCATAAAATTGTATTTGCTAGTATAGTTGTGTACATTCTTACGATATTCGATCACATTACATATCATACAAAATATTAAACAAAATTCTTGTTATTCCATAACGGCTTGTAAACAGCACTCATCAATGGCAAACGAGACTTGACGACAAACCTGTAACGACATAACGTCGCCGTACATAACATAATATTATATACATATATCGTAGGTGTACAAGCTATTTGACGATATCTCAAAAATTACAGACAATGCGAACATTGTATTATGATCGTTCCGTTCTTCGGCGAGCAGGTGTAAATATACGCTCGGCAAAAACGGTTGTATGGAAAAAAAAAACAAACAGAACTATGACGAATGAAGTTTAACTATGATTTTTTTTTTTTTTAATTTCGCAGTCTCTAAAAATCGAGGCTAACGATGCGATTACTCCTGAGACTGCAAAATTCGACGAAAATACATAATCAAGCAATGGATAACGTTTTCTCGAGTCAAATATTATAATATTATGATGAGAGCGATTTAGAGATTCCACGCGTGTCTCCGATGGGAGATGATATCTCTATGTCTATGCAAACACCTATTTATAAACACAGTATCTCTGACGTTTCATCTGCATGACGTTATTTTTTGTTTTGTTTTCGTTAATCTTGATAACAATATAACGTGCTTTCTCTGCTGCGGCAGTGATTCGCTACGGAAATAAAAAAATCGTTCTTGTGATCTATGCGTATATATTATATGCATCACAAACATATTAAATATTGTCAAAAAGAAAAACATGTGAAACAAACAGCATTACTATGGGTAATGGGTATAGTGTAAACTAAGTCAGGTTCGCCCGATAAAACCCTTTGCCGTCCGGCTGTGGCAGTAAAGTATTAATGTGATGTAGTGTGATTCCGCTCTGTGCGACGACGACAACAAATGCGAGCCGATCTGCGGTTAACCAGTTTCAATTTCACTCGATGAGCAATTTTTTTCTCATTTTGTGGGTCATCGTTGGGGCATGAGAAAACTGTTATATAATATAATTGACATCGACTGTGTGTAGGTACCAATATATATGCGAGCGAACCCTATAGTCACGATCTATAGCCGTGGCACATACTATACTAATACATTCATGATGCATGCATATAGGTGCATGCAGAAGCTCCGATGACGGTATTTATGGTACATGATGATCGTACATTTCAGTGAGGTTTTGCAACCATCGTCGAAGACATGGACATAACTCAATTAGGCACTCACGAGCGGTAATATGTTCAGCAATCAATCAACACGAATACGGGTTAGGACATATATTATATTATAATTTATAATGTTGCAGTGGGGCATGTTTTGTGCGGAGGGGAGAAAAAAAGTTGTAAAATATTAATTGACTCTGAAAGAGAGAACGTCGGGATGAAAATTAACCGTTTTGTTCACGTTGACGACATTTTATACGTGTAATGTTTAACGATGCGCGTTGTATTTTCGTTCGATTGACGAAACCGATGGATTGAAGTGTGATTTCTTAAATATATTCTAATATAGATGTGAGCTCCGAACAAGTAGGCACATTATTCTTGTAGGCGAAACGGAAAGGAAACAATTAAAAAAATCAATGGCATGTTGCAGTGAGAGTTTGTAAGAATGTGGTTTAAAAACAACAAACGATGCATACAATAATGTCCATTAATTGTTATTACAATATTTATGTGGAAAATCATTGGTTAGATTAGTCTGATCTGTTTTCTTTTAAATTCAATATATCAAGGTTGCGGTCATGTTTGTACTGCGTCGTTAGAGAAAGTGTTGCATTATATCCATTAAAAAAGTTAAGAAAAATTATTTAATTACATCACACGTAATATAATATCATATCATGTTAGAACACGAATACTTGTTTTTAGCCTACACATTGAATTTGAATATATTATGTTACACAATCGAATCAAAAAAACTTGAAAACAAATAAGATGTAACAAAAATCACTCTATAAACTTTAATAATTATTCGGTTCAATTGCATAAATAGTTTTTAAATAGATAACTGGTGTTTATGGTCTGTTAGCAGTTAGGAAATTTAATAATATTAATGTAGAAACTATGTTAAAAATTGTAATAAATTATTATTATTTACTCGAAGTTAACTATGTTTAGTGTTGCATAAAAACGCATTTAGATGTGTATGGTATATTATAATGTATTTGTGTATTTTTAAATTGTATTACATTACAAAAAAATCAACTATTGACTGAAATATCAAACATAAAGTGTACGTCACAATAATTATAGAAAATAATTATTTCCAAAAATTCAAATTTTAAATACTAATATTATGATGCCTAAGTAAATGATCATAATACTTGTTGGTATCTTATAACCATACTATTACCTTTAATAATTAAAATAGCGTACTCGCATGATAAAAAAAAATTCATAAAAAAAATGCAGCCATAATATTTAGGTAATACCGATAATTTATAAAATGCTTTCCAAGTTAAACAATTAACTTTCATTGTAACAAGTTTTACATTTTTGTAGTTTATTAAGGAATTAGAAACCACAAAACCGTATTCATTTGATAACTCTCATTCTCGTAATTATTGCACTTTTAATAATTTTAAATCTCGTTTAGTAGCATACCATATTATGCATTTGCTTTCTACACATATATATTATCGTTATCAAGTATTATTTTTAAACTATTTTTTGGGAATGTTCTCAAATCTTAAAAAATATTTATCTCAATATATTATATAAGAAATTAAAATCTACTAATGTAAATATAGTATATTATATTTATAGATAGTTGAACTACAGTTCAGTGGATCTATGCTTAAAATACTTATGCAATTATCACAATTTAAGGTTGATTTATAAAAACTATTATTATTATTAATATGTAATTTTTAAAATATTAATTGTTTATTGCATTAGGAGCTTTTGAACTCCACTTTTGAAATTCACATTCATGAAACCATACGAATTTTGTATAGGTGTCTGTTTAACTAATAAAAATTTAATTTTGTATAGGCACACAATATACTTTTCACATAATTTAAAAAAATATATATTATAGTTAAAAAAAATAGAGCATAAATATGTTTTTTTTAACAATTTTCATCGTTACCGGATAATAAATAATAAGTCAATATTATTTATTTTTATTATTCTATTTGTAAGTTTATTATTTAAATAAAAATGTATATAGGCACTTGAATGACGATTTAATTAATATATTTTGTAAGCAAATACATATTACTAGTATGGAATATGTCTTGGATATATCTAGATGGCTAGGTAGTATATTATTAGTAGTAGAAGTAGTAGTACTATACTATCTTACAATGTAATTATAAATTATTTGTTAATGTAAATTTGATAAAATCAACTTAAAACGACTATAGACTATTTTAAATGCAATTCTAAGCCAAAGAAAAAACATATTTTTTAATATAAAATCTACAGAATAAATAATAAATTCAGAAAATAGCAAAAATGTATCAAAAAAATATTTGTAATAAATTTGAAATATTAAAAAAATAAAAATCTAAGATAAATGTACCTAGTTTGAATCTAACAACTAAATTTTCCTGCCAGATAAGACGCTGTACAAAGTTTCCCCTTAAAATATAATTAAATTATCAGATAATAATGGATACATTTAAATTAAGTATTCTATGAAAGAATGACATACCTACTCCATATACCTAGCATGGTTATTATTTAAAAAAAATTGTTTTATAATGTTAATAATATGTAAAGAAAAAGTAATATTTTACTTTTAAGATTTACTGATTTACAATTTATATCATAATTTTATTGCATTATAAATCTAATATTTTTAATTTAGATTCAAAATAATAGTATGGTACATTTACCATACGTGAATTCAATTAAATGTTGTGTGTATTTATTTATTTAAGGAAGTGTCTTAGAGTCTTTAGAGTTTAAACAAATGTTGTGTTATAACTTATAGGTACTTGCACAGTTGCACTTGCACCGTCCGATTTTCGGTGGACATCATACTTGTAATTGAATAGTAAAGTGTATTATACCTACTGTCGAATCACTTATCATAGTAAACTCATTACTAACCACGATATTACAATAGGCAGGTACATCGCATAATTTATTGCATTTACAATACTTAAAATATTATTTTAAAACGTTAAGTGTAGATACTTGTACGGGACACTTGTAGGTATAATGTACATAGGTACTCACGTTAAGATTTTGGTCCTTGTTCTCTTGTTGCGGACAGGAAGACGACGGGCTGTGGACTGACTGACAAGAGCGATCCGGTTGAGCACGTTGGCAGACCGTTTCTGTCAAAATAGTACGTCTTGCGCTCGTGCGGTTCCTTACTATAACCGCCGTTTTACTTTCATCCGGACACCATTCTCTTTTTTCAGCCTCCCACTATACATAATATATATTCGGCCGAGGCGATTATTTAATAACGATTATATAGGTAGAAGTACTTTTCATTATTATAATAATATTATTTACCATATACCTACCATTGCGCTGACTATGTAGTAGAGGAATGTATTTACTACTTACACCGTGCACGGTGGCGGTGGTACCAGACATTGGTGTAATTAATATGTGCTACGTAAACTATATTATATTAAAATATTAAAATAATAATAATTAATTACTTGTTGTTATTATAGCGAAAATTAATGAAAGGAACACGCTTTACTAAGCGGCGTATGGTATAGTTCGTATGTGCATATTGTGAATATGATATTGTGAACCGCCAGCGGCTTTTAGTATTGTCATATTATAATATATTAATAAATGTAATAATATAATGTTGTGTTCGGACCTAATATATTGGATTGGCTAACCACCTTAATGAGAGTATTTTGAAAACGAAACCGTTGTTTGGAAAAACAATCTATTCTACCTATTTCATTATGTCGCTTAAAATATTATTTTATGCAATGCTTTATTTATTTTATAATTCCGAACAATCGGCCTATATTTCATATCGAACATTAAATAATACATCATGGTATTAATAAATTATACGTCGTCTATTATTATGTCGAATCAAATATAATAATAATAACAATAACAATAATTATAATTATAATGAGAGTCCCTGACCTAGGCGTGCAGTTTAATAATTAGTATTGAACTTCATAGTATCAATCTAAAATATTAATTATTTTTTTTATTATCAATATCAATATCATTATAAATATCGTCATTCATTTTTGATCAAGTGTTGATTTTATAATTTAATTTAAATCTTACAAAAACAAATTGTACATTTAAAAAAAAATATACTTTCTGATTGTCAAGTTACGCCATCGATGATCTAAAAATCAAATTAATATACCTACCATTTTAATATGAATGCACATGTTGTCCTATTGACATACGCCGATTTGTGGTTAATATATAATGGTTAAAATAGAATTGAAAAAATTAAATATAGCTTATTAAACATGCAATCAATGTAACTAAATATTCATGTTGACATTTTCTATATTAAATTATACAGACAGTTATTATAATGAATAATTAAAATTTTAAATATAGGTAATATGATATGGTATTACATTTTGAAAACTTTCTTTGTATTAAAACTAATTTTAATCTCCATGGTATTAATTATTTACAATAAATAATAGTAGATATGCATTCATAAAATTAAATTTTATAGAATATAATATAAAACAAATAAAAATAATTTATTTTTTCAAAATAAAGAGGTTTGACTTTGAATAATTAATTGAATGTAGGTACCTTTAAAACAGAATGGTTTAATGGTAGGTTTGAAACCTACCTGTCTAAATACTTTTGTGATTCAATTTCATATTATAACGTAATAATGTGGTATAATATTTAATGTATACATTTAATTTCATTGAATATATTGTTTTTATGTAATATTTTAAAAATTTTACTTTAAAATCTAGCGAATTGATTGTATTTTATTAATCATTACATAATTACTTTATTATAGAATAAAATAATATGTTTTGCATTTTTTCATTTATTTGTAATGCATTGGCATAGAATAAGAAAAAAAATGTACAGGATATTAGGCAGAGGTACAATTATAATATAGAAGCTGACTTAAATTTACCAACATCAGAAATCCAAAATTGATGGTCCTTAATTACACTGTAAATAAGTATATAACATTCACGCCCTACGTTTTTTTTTTTTTTGGGAATAAATTATGATTGCATTTTACTTTTAAGTATTCTAAATTGTGATAAATGAAATTATCATTAATTATACATTTTAATTCATATTATGTTATGTAATAGGTATATTGTAATATGTATGTACTATCGTGTATTGATATATGTATATTGTGTATTTATAATAATATAATACTAACTATAATTTATATATAATATATAGTTATACATTTATAATGTTTTTATTCAAGAGCATATCTAGATTTCATCAGAGGGTGGGTAGAGGGCACCGAAGTGTATTTTAAAAATTTTAAAACTATTTCGTTAGGTCAGGGGAAGAATTTAAAATCAAAACTGTATGATTAAAATATACCTCTATAACTTGCAAATAATGACATTGGTCTTTTTTTCAACACACCGTGTATAAATAATAACATTGTATTAAGTAATTGGAAATTGAATATGTCCGTTAGAACAGATTTGGTTCAAATATTTTCAATATATTTATGCGCCGCTTTATTTTTTTGTTTATGTGTTAACTACATACCTACTAATGAATATCAAAAAATAATGTCCCTGAAGTATTATCAGGTGCTTAACGTTATATGTACTACAAGACACGACTTGATCTCAGTCCACCTGCTATCTGATCGACCATGCATTATATAAGTGTTTTTTTCATTGGAAAGAGGTTGTTTAAATACACTATTTGATGAAAAATTAATTTTAATCTTTTTTTTATGTATACATAGTAAAATAAAATTGTCTTGAATAGAAGGGACCCCCGTTTTAGGGACTGGATTATATTTTCCTATTTTTTCCAAACAACTTTGGCTTATAAATTTATTTATACCTCCCAAATGGATTTTTGAGACGGTATACAGTTATACGATTTATCCATTTTGCATTTTTCTACAGTGTATAATTTTATACGCTACCAAGTGATTTCACGTAATAAATAAAGTAATAACTTGATTTTAAACTTAATCTTAATCTTATAATTTTAGTTCGTCCTAAAATAGTCAATTTTTAATATTTAAAAGAATGTAAGGAAAATCAGAGTAAATCCAAATCTGGTCTCAAAAATTGTAGTCCCTTTTCAAAACAATTTTATTTTAGATACACCAACAAAGAAACGTAAAAAATTAATTTTTTTCGAACTTTGTGTATTTTAAGGTTCTTCATCTGATGAAAACCCCTGAATAAAATGCAAAGTTGTTCAAATGAAAAACGTAAGTACTGTATTACCCTAAAAATTGAACATATGGTATTTCAACTAATAGGGGATGTATCCACAACATTATCGACAAATCAGAAAATGTAATACCAATACATAACTTATTTTTATTGGACTCTAAAATAAAATATTTGTAAGTTTACTCAAAAATAGTTGAAATTAAAAGAGAGTAGATCTACTATCTCGGAACATATTTTTTAAAAATTTTAAGTGGTTCTGTTCACTTAGACAAAGTTATCTACATTTAATTATTTCAGGATTTAATATTTGTCAATTTCCATAGAACATAATATTATATGTGATAATATATATACTTACGATTTAATGCTTATAGGTTCTTAGTTATACTTAAAACTTAGGTATATTTATCTTCAGTATAGATTTTATACAATTTCCAAGCGAAACATCGATAATATAATAGTTACTTATTTATATTTAGTACCGATGGATTATAGTAATAAATTGTATTATATATAACGACTACATAAAAATAGTGAAAATAATAGTAAAAGTGTGCGTTCATTTAGGTACTACCTTCATGCTTGTGAAAATATGTTTTAGTTAATTTCACTGGCTATTGTTGATGATTTTATTACTTTAAATGTGTGAGTAGATACCTAAAATTCAACGACATTATACCTATAAAGCCATTAAAACTACTGTGCTTAAAAACTTTCAAAGAATGTGGTATTTAATTTTATTGCACAATTAATTAAATATATTTTTAAAATGCTCTATGTTGTTAATTTAAAATATATTAGTAGTTGTATTTTGTGTTGCACATTTACAGCATTACCTTGAAATGTATAGATCTGTTTTAATTCTTAACTTCCAGCAGTGTATTGCCTATAAGCATTAAAATAAAATGTATTGTTCAGTTTACTTATTTCATTGAAATATTTCTAGTTAATAGTAAACTAATAACATTATATTTACCTCGAACTAAATTAGCCTAAATTACTCTGGAATATAGAGTCATAATATGATATATAAATTCATTCTAAAATATTTTAACTAAATTTAATTATCTTTAATAATGTTGTGTATACGGAACCGGGAACATAAGCTATTTGAAAACTATTAAATATTTTCAAACTGAAATAATTTATAAACACCAGTTATAAAAATGTTATTGATGGACTGAGACCTGAAGACCTAAGTGCTTATTTCTTAAATTCCTTACGGTCCATAAGTAGTATTAAATTAGAAATTATGAATTCAGTGCTCGTGACCAATTGAAGTTATTGAACCACGAGTGAATGTGTGGTGTATATAGTCACTATATTATACAGTCTTGGTCCCTTCGAACTATGATGACATTCTTTTTTATTTTGTAGATAATAATAAAGTAAAATTTAAAAATTATTGGCAATACAGTTAACGTTTACTCTCTACAGTAACGTCGTAATAATGCTGTAACGTAAAAAATAAAAATGTAACACAAAGTGTAGTCATTACAAAATTGTATATATTTGAAGTTAGGCATACTGAGTATAGTAGGCAAGTAGTAGTTAGTCGTAGTCTTATTAACCTAGCCTAACCCTATCTTTCGTAGACGTAATTTTGTTACGAAAAATAATTCAATTGGATACAGTTTATTTGAGTTATTACACTAGAGTATAAACTATAAAATATTTAGTTTATTTTGAATAAGTTTAAATTTAAATTGTTATAATTTGTTTGTTAAATACCTAAATACCTTATTGTATTGTATTGTTTATACCTTCTATAGTGAAATATTTTTTATTTTTTTTTATCATTATTATTTAACAATTTTTAACTTTTACTTTATCACCGATAAAAATGTTGTTCGAACTATGTTAGGTAATAGCTACAAATTGTTAATATTTTCATGACAGAGAACTAAAATCATTTTGCACGTATAAATAAATTATATATATTGTAGTTTATAATAATTGTAACTGTGACATTTTAAACTTACATAACTATTAATTACCTCCATAT